CTGAGTAGCAACCTACCTCTCTCAGCAATTCAATGGATGAGAAGAAGTTTAAAGGCAAGACAAAACAGATGGTGGATAATCTTAATTTTTTCAAATATAGAGACGTCCTAAGTATTTATACTGCTCCTCAACAGTAAATAATGTACCTTCAGAATTTATGCCAAAAATACCTATTAAGTTTTGTTCTGGAAAAGCCTGTGAAGAGGGTAAATATCAATATGAACAAAAAGCACACAGAAAGTCAACAAAACTCCTTCCTTAGGGACTCAGAGAAAAAAAAAATAAAAGAAAAAAAAAAGAAGGAGGAAAAAAACTCCCAAACTGAAAATGAAGTGGATTCAAATGCAATGTAAGAGAAACCACAACAGGGAATTCCAGTCTAATATCCCACCTGAGCTAAATGGGAGAATGCTTCAAGGGCAGATAAGACCACAAAAGTATAGCAGTAAGCATTTCTCAAATCTTCCCCAGTATAAGAATCTCATGTGCTGAAGGAACTCATTCAAGTTTGAAGGATATAACAATACTATCAACTTTGAAAACGTAAACTCAAAAGACAATTCCATTTTATGCCCCAAGGACCTAGCATCTTAAAATAAAGAATTTTGCACTCCACCTTCTCAAATACCATGACCATGTCACAGTCACTAACTAAACAGAAACAACAAAAGCACAAGCTTTTCACACTGCTCTTTCCTCTGTGCTAGCATTCTTCAATTTTTTTTTTGTTTTTTCTGAATTGCTACCATTTAAGTCACCCTTCTTGGTACAGTCTGAGTTAGAATCTGGGATCGGGCTGCTGTTATAAGAGATCTAGATGGCAAAATCTTGAGTGTCAAGCAGCACACCACCTTTAACCATCTAGAAGAGTCCTGGATTCTAACAATGAGGAGAAAGTATCAGAATCCACTGTGACAACAATACACTGCTGATAACAAATATGAACAAGGACATGGAGAAGCTGTTCCATGAAAAAAAGTTACTTCCTTTGCCTTAGAATAGTTCTTCCAGATCGTTCTGTAGCTCCTGTAGAAGGGAAAACATGTGTCTACCACAGATATTCTTGCCAGCAGGCACAAAACCATTTTGGAGCCCACCAACAGACCACCATCTGCAGCAATACTTTACCACTACATGGCAGTATGGCAACAGAAGTGATGCTGATCACATCAGCCTCGATGGTCAGCTAGGGCCAGTTTTACAATATGCAAGGTACAGGACCAGTCCACACACCCTGCTGCCTAGAGCTTCCCTCTCTGCTTGTTCATTGAAGGGAATATGCTAAAGCTAGCTGTTCGGTCCTCTTTCACAAAAACAGCCTTTGGAGGACAAAACTTGTGGTCATAAATATTTTTGCTTGCTTTGTATTTTGTGCATCTAGACTTTGATAAGAACTTACCTGTACTGCTACCACTGCATTCATCCCAAGGCAGTCACTGCCAGCAGATGGCCTGAGAGCTGGTAAGTCATCTCCTGTCTTAGCCCAAACCAAATCATTCCAAATCACCATAAGCCATCATCTTCATTCAGACCTATTCTATGCACATGTTCCCAGCACAATAAATCAAGTCAGAATTTAGGGCCTATCAGGAGTAACTATTTCTGTTTTAATTTTCTAATTAATCAGAACAGGCACAAACACAGGATCCAGCTCCAAGTAACACATAAGCCTAGAATTGTTTTTCTGGTTGAGTGGTAACAAGAGCAGCCGTTTCAGCTGAAATCAGCATCACCGTATCATCTCACAGTCACTGCCTTGGTCAGAGTCCAGCCAGGCAGGTGCCATTACATAGCTGGATGGTCTGGGTACATCTCCCAAACAGAGCAGCTCACACACGTGTATCTGCCTCAGTCTGGAGGCTACACAAGCAAGTTTGAAAGCTTGGAATAGGTCTTTCCTAATTTCTTCCCCTTGAAAAATGGACATCTCCAAATTCACTTTTCAGGGTACTAGTTTAAGTAGCACAACAACAGCAGAAGACATGCTCCTGATCCTCAAAATGCCAGTTTTCCTCAGAAAGGGAGGTAAAAACATACTGAATATTTACTGGATTAGAAAATTCATCACAAGGGAGACTTCTCCAGCACAGCTACACTCATCTTTTCTTGTCATTAACTCTTCCATGGGAAAAATGTCCCAGATTTTAACTGCAACAAGGGAAAAAATAAGGCTTTTAAAAATTCATTCAACCACACCAATGTTTCATTATACCCTTTGCAGAGCAGATGGCAAGATGATGCTATACCCCCTGGGCCTGCTTCAGGGAGCTAACACAAATGCTCTTCTCACTACACATCTCAGATGATGTTGGTGTCATCATTTCACTTGGGGATTTGGGTCAAAAGGCTTTACACTCAAATCTGGTTTTTATATAGTACAAGTGCACCCCGGCTAGACCCTCACGGATAAGCAGCAGGGAGTGAGCACACAGCACAGAGCTCTCTCAGGCACTTCCAGGTCGCTGATTTACCCTGCCGCATTTACAGACTGGATCTTTCTAATCCAATTAAAATCTCATCTGAGCTGTCAATACAGATGTAGCCTGGTTTATTTTAGTGTCTCATAGAACATGCATTAATCCAGGCCTGTGGACAAACTAGCCCTTCTAGGCAAAGTCTGCATTTTGCCAGCCTAGTTTCCAGCCCAGGTTCTCTCACACATAGAGCCCTCAACTGCTCTCATGTTACCTGTCTAATCAGGAACTCCTATGGACATCACTGCCATCCTATCTGGCTGCTTCATAAAATGTGTGATTTACACCATTACCCTTCTGAAAAATAGCACTTTTCTTTCCCATCTCACTTCTCATGTAACGATGGCTGGGGTACTATCATTAAATATAAGAACTGAATATGATCTGTTTTCATTTCAATGGCTTCATTTGTTTGAAATGCATATGCCAGTTACAAGCTGTCAGCACATTTAATAAGTTATAGCAAAAACCAAAACTCTCAAACTACTGGGGCCAAAAATTTTTACAGATCATCACATGTACTTGTCATTAAATTTTGCACCAGAAACATTATAAATTATACTTTTTAATAGACTTCCATAAGGCAGCTGTAAGCTGTTTTGCCACAAGCAAGCACATGGAACACCAGTATTTGCCAGACATAAAACCAGAAGTTAAAAGCATCATTAATACCACCACAAACTCTCAAACTCCTCATAAAACTGATACACTCAAGCAGGTCTTTCACTATGACCCAAAGGTAAACAAGTTCAAGGTTTAGCAAGCCAAGTTCAGGAGCAAAGCACATCTGTTGGTGACATCTTCAGCAAGGCTAGATTGAATGCTTCAGTGGATCCTGCTAATGGAGAGAGCTGAACTTTGATACAGCAGTTTGAGCTTTGCATGTGAAAACCAACCGTTAAGCAGCATCCAGAAATAAATTGTCAGCAAAGCAGATTACAGGTTACACTCTTACTCTTGAGAGATACCTGTCACCACCAGGAATTCTCCACAGTCAGACAGCTGCATTTTCTAAGAGGGACTCAAGTAGTCTCACGTAAAAAGAAAACTAACCTAAATATAGATCAGAATTTTGTGAAATATTTCCATAAGAGGAGATTCTCCATTTGCAAATTATTTCAACGCAAATAGACTCTTCTGCTGAACACATTATTCTTCCTGAAACAGCTGCAAATCCTACTGACTCATTTCTAAGTCACTGCCACAGAATACTGAAAATCCTAATGGGTACTGGGGAAGTGTAAAGTGAATGGAAAAGAAATCCATAGCAATTTACTATGTACACAGAAGGCAACTTCTGACTGAGGAAGTCCTTGAGCTGAAAACTGCTAGAGGGTTCGAGAGTATCCTAGAAAAGACCACCCTATGGCCACACCTTATAGTCTCCAACACCTTGTATTTTTCCCTAGCCATTTGCTTTGGACCCCATCTTGAACCTGAAGCCTGGGCTAGGTTGTCAGACCACTGATCTGACAAAGAACAGCTGTCCCTGTATTTGATATGACAGACTATAGTTGCCCGTATACTAACCTCCAATTGCATATGCAAATGTCACAGTTCTTTTCATTGCTATAGAATTTCAAAGCTATGGTCATGGACAAGAATTTATTGGGCTAATGTTACAAGTGTAACATAGGAAGATTACTGGCAAATTCCTCTAATGCTGAGATCCAGTATTTTCTGTTCTGTTCCTCACCTCAGTGTCACTCCTCAGGCATATACACACTTACAGATATCTCACTTTACATAAGCTCCAGTCTCAGAATGGTAATGAGAAACCTAATCAGCTGCATCAAATGGGCATCACCTTTACGACACAGTTTGCAAAACAACCCAGCCCTATGACCTCTGCCTGTGTTTTGCATTCCGGCTGAACAAGAAGACAAAGACAGTGAAGTCATTTGATGCCAGGCATGAAAAGCAAGTGTCTGGCTCCTGGAGTCTGCAACATTTACCACAACAGAAAACAACAAAGTTCATCTGAAATAATTCCTTCTCTTCCTGTTTATGGCTGTTGCTGCAACAGCAGCATTTCATGGTTCAAAGGCAGCTGTGTGATGAAACATAATTAGCAGGGTCACCTGATTCTTATACCTCACCAGCAGAATGCTCCTCATCAACAAAACCAAATAGCCCTCACTTTACAGATCTGCAAACCCTAAGATTTTCCACTTCATTACACTATACAGCAGATTTCATCCCAAAGCTGTAAACAAGAAATTAACTGTCAGCTCTCTCCAGAGAACTTGAGAGGTTCCTTCTAATATGCCCAATCCTACATAGTGGCTATGAGAATAAATAAGCACATTTAAACATTTTGTTGTACTTCTACCCAGTGCCACTATCATCCATCTTGTTGCTTGCCACCCTTCTCCTACCAAGTAACTACACATAAAAGAATGAAAAGGTTTTTCTAAAAGCTTCAACAGAAGCTCTCTGATAAATCCCTTAAATCCTCTTATTACTCCTTTAAAGGGAAAAGTCCATCCACCTCATCAATATATCAATCTGTCAGCAGAAACATACCACAAGTTCGGCGAATCTTGCATTGAGCTCTTCTGCTGGTGGAATTGGGACAGAAAACTCAAGGAATTGGAGGGGATTATTGTCCTTGAGGTTGATTTCAGGGAGGTCGCTGCCTCCAAAACAACAAAGAAACCCCAAGGCATGACGATTCCTCTTCCGGGGGGCCATGATCATGGTGTAAGGTGCTATCTTCTAATCATGTTCTGTAGGAAAAAAAACAAAACAAAACCAACAGACATTAGATGATACAAAAGACAGTTGAATCTATGCAGCTCTGTGCAGTTACAATGGCTGTCACTGGAGTAACAGATGGAAGAGGACAGAAGGAGCTGGTACCCAAAAGAACAAAATAAATACTCAAGCAAGATAAGGTAACTAGGCCTTCATATGGTATTAACATGTTCTTCCAAGGCAGTGTAGAATTGCTTCTCCCAGTTTTTCTGAAAAAAAGATTCTACCAACTCAGTGTGGAATTTCCCAGCAGGTAGATTTGTCAGCAATGCTCAGTAGCCAAGGCTGAATGCTACCACAGAATGCTGATATTGGCCTTTTTCTCACTACTACAATAAAGGAAAGAAACTACCAGAAGGAAAAAAGCATGTATGGGAGAATTTACCCGCAACACATGGAAGAATCTTCCAGAAGTATCCCATTTGATCAAAATAAAATGAACAATGAAAAAATTAAGCAGGCATCAATCTTCCACCAATGCAGAGCCAGACCACCAAACATTCACTTATTCCTTCACAGCCAGGACTATCACTGCAGGACCTTTTTATCCATCCCATTTCCAAACACATGTTAGTTTGGGCTGCTTTATGTATTCAGGGAAGAAACAGCACAGTGCTAATGCATGTCTCTAGATTTACATTTCAGCTGCCAGATCCCATCTTGACAGAATCTGGCTCGAGGGGCTTTAGTATCAGGCGTAGAAAGGGAGGCTGAAGGAGAAGCTGGGAAGTAACTGATTTCACTACCACACAACACCGTTTGTGAGCAGCCCATCCAAACAGGAAGTCCCCTGCCAGCAGTTTGAAAGGAGGGATCTGTGCAGTGCACAGAGAGCCACATATTTTGCCCTTTTAAGGGACTTGTTGTTTGACAGCTCAGGGGCTTATTTGTGTTACATTTTTAAGGACTTCACTTTTTCACTTAATCTGCAGAATAAGCCATATCCTTAGAGAGTAAATAATTAAAGCTTGTTGTGAAGCTGGTCTCCCTGGGCACAGGGCAGGGGAGCAGGAGGGAGGTGGCAGGTGAACCAAACCACAGGATGCTGGATGCTGTATCAGCAACAACACAGCTGAGCTTTGTCATCAGAGCAGCTGCTGCCCTAACCTGCCCTACAATGCTTTGGTCTGTTTGCTTGCCAGAACAAGGCTGCTTTGAGCTTTCATAGAGACTGAGTAGCTGTGCAAGGAAAAGCACCTTCGGGACAGCAGTTGCATAGTGGGACTTAACATAAGAGCACAGCCAACTCTCCAGGGATGTTTTGTGCAGAAATTGGCATGTTTGCTTTAAAAAGAAAAAAACAAACCTAAGTAACAAACAACAGCCAGAAAAATGTCCAAACCATCCAAACCTCTACCCTTATGGAACTATGTGCTTGGCAGGAATCACCTGCCCTACTCTATGCTGGGATTAATTTATCCTGCACATTTTCTTATGCATTGGAGGGGCATCAGCTGCAACTCTCAGGCAGCTGAAAGAAAAGCAAGCTGGTAAAAAGTACTGTCTTCTGGCATGCCCACTTTGCTTTGCTCTCCATGCCAGCTCTGCAAGGGGTGTTATGTCCCAGCAGGATTCACTAGAGCAGGATGTTGCTGGCTTCAAAAGCCCATTCATAAAAACATTGGGTTCTCACTAGGAGATGCCAAAGGTCAACTTAAAACTGAACTGGTCATTGACACAGCTTCAGTCAGCAAAACCAAAATGCCCTCAAATCTATCACAATGATGTGCATGGCAATTTGTGTTTCCTCTCAATAGTGGACACTTGAGAGATTCAGCTGCTAAAAGATTTCACAATAGAGCCTCAGAAATTAAACTTGTACACTACAGACCATCTTCTCAAGTATTATTATTCCAAGTGCAATGCCTTTTATGGCAAGCTGGTCATGACTGAGATTAAAACCAATTAGTTTGACAAAACTCTCTTTTGGAAGGAGCTGAATTCAATGAGACAAACTTGATTTACATGCAATACAACTACACTTGCATCAATTCAGTTGCAACCAAGCTCTGGCCCACTGTCTAAAGGCTTCCCCACCAACCATCAAAGGATCATTCTCTGGGAATTTCATTACTTGGCTTTCGTCTTAAGCAGGTTCATCTTAGAGGTTGTCAGTCTCCAGGCCTTCCTCATCCATAATGCTGAGAAATACCCAAGCTGATGTTTGTTACTGTGATTTTTTTACAGAATCTGCAGTTCCTTGGGATCCACACTTGTGAAACTCAAGGCTACTAAAATTTTTACTACCCTGCAAAAGTATGCAGAGCTCACATGGACAATAAGCTCACTTTTGCAAAGCATCATTCCATTGCACAACTCATACTCTTAACACTGGCATTGTCCAGGTGCATCTATAGCAGCTGGCATGAAATTCATACTAACATAGAGGGGTAAAATAACACTTGTGCGTTGCTTTCCCACTGCAATTGTGTGGATAGGTGAGGTGTCCAGATGCTTTCAAAATACGAACAATTGAGGACTGCTACAGAGGAATCCAGCACAGGTATTTTAGAAACAAATCACTGAAGGAATGAATGAAAGAAATTTCTAAGTTGGAGCACTGTCTTTCTAAAATTAAACCTGCCAGTAAAGTAGATGTCCTTCAGAATCCTGTAAGTTGCACCATTGATGCTACTTAATAGCTGATTAAAACTTTTTAATTTTTGTTGGGGATCAAAAAAATAAACATTTTCTAATTACCTCCAAATTAATAAACTTCTCCTTTCCTTTCCCTCTTTTTTGCCTTTCCTTTCTCAAGAATCAAATCTGGGGAAAATGCACTTCCAAAGAATGAGGAGGGTGGGAGATAACAAAGAAAATGAAGAAAAGAGCAACTTCCATTTTTCTGAGTGGCAATTGACAGCAAAACTGACATAAAAATTTATGAAAAGAACAAGAAGTGGGGGGGGTTTCTTCTAATAAAAGTTCTACTGCCTCTCAACTTCAGGCAAGTAAAAATGAAACATGTGCAATTACATATTTCTATATATATACATCCCCAGTGAGAATCAATAGGAAATCTCTCTCTGGAGAGAATCCCACTATTACACATAACTCCCTCCCACAGCTCTTCTCAGTTCTACTGTTTTGCCCTTTTGCACAACACAAACAAGTTGCTGTCATTTCAGCAGCTAACCACACACCCGTTCCTCACAGCAATCCCTCTCCTGCTTCCCAGCCCCATCTGTGGTTCGGCTCAGGTCAGGAATCACAGCCTGGAACTCTGCCCAAGGCCTATTTATAACAACGTCCTCTTCCTCTGACAGGGTGTACGTGTTTATTTCTAAACCATTTGGCCCAGTGACCAAACATAATTTAGCTAATGCAATTTTTCCAACCCTTATCAGAAGTTTTAGCCACATGGGATCAGATCCATGCTAACTGCACACGAGGATCCTCTTTCAATTGCTTTCTGAATTGCTTCATAAGCCTCACTCTTCTCTTCATTCTCATCTCAGAGATTTTAATTTTCATGTCAACATATGCTAAATAAGCAATGCTCCACTAAAAGTAAGACACCTAAAACAACTGCTCTGCCAGCAGCTCTCCTGTGCAAGACAGCTGATAATTGTAGATTTTATCTCACTGTTCTGTCCTTCAACACACTTAACAGCCAGAGCATAACTGTAACTAAAACAGAGAAAATTACTTTTGTATCACTGCCTTTGAAAAAAGGAAAGAAAGATAATTCAGTGGGTAACTAAAAACACACAGTCATGCAAAAATAGTTAACAACATAAGGAAGCATTAATGGTAAACACTTTCAGAGATGTATCTCTACTGATCATCAACAGACCCATGATGCCAGTGGATGTAGCCATAGCTCTCACCTGAGTGGGGAGCATGGGACTAAACGTATGATGAAGAATCACTGCCCACACTAGCTTATGTGAACGAAAGAAAATAAAGTTAAAAATTTCTATTTCCCTGTAATTTATCTATCTTTGTCTGTGGCAAGATAAAACATATACATGTAAGGTGTGATCACTGATGTAGAAAGAAATCTGAAGTCAGAGTTGTTTAGAACACAAACCAACTCACCCACAACCCCTAAATCCAAGTTAAAACTCCAAATTATTAAACTATTCAGTAATAAACCATGAGAAGTTCCTGGTATTAAAAGAGCTCCCTAGATCATCACTTATTGATGATGAAATGGAGGAAATAAGCACCATGCTCAAAACTGCCTGCATGTAGACACTGGATAAAGGGAAAGAGCTTCCTACTGGTCCCATGCTCAGTTCCCTGGACCATATTGCTTCTTCAGTACACAGATGGTGAAATGATGAACTTCATGGCATGATTTAATTACCATGGGAATTTTCCATGGATGTCACATGTAATGTGACAGATGTCAGATGGACTATATGGCAATTGCAGCAGGGGGGATGGGGAAAGGAAGCAGACAAGCAATCCATTCGTTGCACATGTAATAACAACCCAACTCCTTTGGTTTGGATTTGTCACCCTACTAAGGAGCCTCCTGGTCTCCAGGGCACAAAACAGCAACAAAAAGCCCTGACCACTTAAAATCCATAAAGTTAAAACCTTATTTTTCAGGGAAGCTCCCTGAAGATCCATGGACACCTGCTTGCTATGTTGGACAGGAAGGCATTGGACCCAAAGCAAATCAACAGATTACTGGATGTGATCTGGAAAAGAGCAGGGTCCTGTGAAGCAATGGCTACTCAATCCCAATCAGCCACGGTCCACACTTAAGTTGCCACCACAGGAGAGAGGGCAGTTCAAATAAAGCTGTGCATTTTGAAGCCAGTTCATGGATTTTCCTTCTCCCAACACATTGAAACAAGAGTGCAGAGCTCTTGGTGCTTATGAGAACTTTGCAAGACAGTCCAGAAACTCACTGCTCATTTATTTTACATACCTTTCCATTAAAACTGAGATGGTTGATAATTTCAAAGCATTCTAGAGACCCAAGGATTTTCTCCTATTTTATATTTATC